TTCACATATATATGTTTGTACTTAAGACAGTGAACCGTGAACCCATTGAACTTTGGTGCTTCTAGGGCCCCCCCCCCCCCCACAAATAAAATAAAAGTAACCCCAGATGATGTCAGAGAATCGTTTCAAGCAGGGGTCGTTGTGCACCGATTTTCTCCGAGCAAACCCTGAAGCCAGGAACCTGAACCCTTCTATCCAAACAGCCCATCGCAGAAGTTGAATACCGAAGTCGATATCTCGTGCATACTTGAAGTCTCGGGGATGAGGGTTGGGGAACCCCAAGCCCCCAATTCCTGAACCCTATAAGCTTCCACAAGCGATGCCCGCGGCCCCCGCAATGAGCATGAAGCCCTGTGCATGGCTCGGAACTTACGGCAATGCACCGCGGCATTGCGAAACTCTGCTTTGAAGTCCTCAACCCTGAGCCCTAAACCCTAAACCCTAGTGAAACCCCTGAAACAGGTCAGCTTTCTCATCACAAGTTTCGGTCCCTGTTAGGTCCCTGTTGCACTTCAGTGTCCCCCTGCTATCCATAAAACCCAAGCTCAGACTATCTATCACCCAAAACCCAAACCCTAAAGCCCTAACCCCAAAGGGATCTCACTGTTATATACTTGGGCCCCGAACAAAGCCCCTATGTAATAGGAATTATGTTGCAGCCCAAGCATTCCCTATTATTTTGGTATCAGCTTCATAGGCAAGCCCACGTCGAACCCCAACTCCTGTGTAAGCCTCGAGACCGGCAGGGAAATGTTGATTAGGGTTTAGGGTTTAGGGTTTAGGGTTTAGGGTTCGATACCCTAACCCCTAAACGCGAATGCCTGAACCAGTCTGAGCAAGGGTATCTTACTCACCCCAGTCCCTGAGCTTCCTCAATGATGGGTTCCCACACTACCCCCCTCTATAGTACTTAAGGCTATGTAGGAATACTTAGGCTTCATGCAGGTGAACCCTAAACCCTAAACCCTAAACGGGGGTAGTATAGAGGGGGGTAGTAGGGGAACCCATGACTCAAGCTAAGGAGAGTTCAGGAACCGCAGCAACTGGGAAGCAGCAATCGCACTGCTGCGGTCCCTGCAGCTGGTCTCGAAAAAACTGTTAGGGTTTAGGGTTATAGGGTTCAGGGTTCAGGGCTCGGGTTTAGAGTTTAGGGTTTAGGGTTTAGGGTTCAGGGTTTAGGGTTTAGGGTTTAGGGCTTGTAGGCATTTGGTTTCACTAGACGGTTGTCCTAAATTCGGTTGCCCTGGGCTGGGGAGGGGCAACCTTGTAATAAAATGCGATCAAGAAGACTCTAGTGTAGAGCAAGCCCTAAACTCTAAACCCCGAAGCCCTTAAACCCAACTATGCTCACAGAAGTTTCCTAAACCCTAAACCCTAAACCCTAAACCCCAAATCCAAAAACCCACCCTCAACCCTAAACCCTGAACCCTGAACCCTAAACACAGAGTTGGCCGCTTGAGGGTTGTTCTGTGTCAAAGACATGTAATCGTTCGAGCCATGGTGGGTTGAGGGTTTAGGGTTTAGGGTTTTTGGGTTTAGGGTTTTAGGGTTTTAGGGTTCAGGTTTCAGGGTTTCAGGGACTAGGGTTTGAGGGTTGAGGGTTGAGGGGGTTGCAGGGGTTCACGAGTTGATGGGGGTTGGGCTTTCGGCTTGGCCTTGTGTATCAGTCTAGGGGTTCACTGCTCATGGCAGTTGAGGGTTTAGGGATTCAGGTTTAGGGCTTAGGGCTTAGGGCTTAAGGGCTTAGGATGACAAGGGAGGCGTGTGACTTTTCCCAAAGCTTAGGCAACATGAGGGGCCGTTGCCGAACGTTATCACCTACAATGCCACTCGGAGGCATGTTGGCATGTCCCAAAATAGAAGCCACGCCGCAAGCCCAACGAACAAAACACTGCCTAGAGCAGACGATTTACTGGAAAGCCAGTAGGCTTTACGGCTTTAATGATGACTTGAAGCAGAGTATGTCCAGTCATAAGGCCTTTTGCCCTGCTGCAGCAAAGTTGGTAAGACCCAACCGAGGTCCTCGAATCAACCCTTCTTCTGGAAGGTTCGCAAGTAGTTATAGCTGGAGTTGTATGTAGGACAACTACTACAACTGCCCAACCTAAAAACCCGAAGTCCCCAACTTTGATCAGAACTTTATGACCTTCCTTTTGCGGGAACTGCCCACATCCCTATAAACCCGAAATGGGGGTTTCCGAAATTAGGGGTACCTTATCAGAGAGTCCTTATTACAGGAGGATCCTACTATTTGGGGGTCTCTAACCCTAGACCCTAAACCCCAAACCCTAAACCCCTAGTCCCCTAAAACTCCCAAATGAATCCTGAGCGTACCGATCCCATGAAACCTTCAAGTATCGTTTGGGCCGGCACGCAGCGGAGCGTCCAGAACCTTCAGGCAACGGGTTTAGGGTTTAGGGTTTAGGGTTTAGGTTCAAGGTGCTTGGCGGCCTGCAGCTCTCGGGATCCTACTAGCCGCTAATGGTTTCGGGGGGGGGGGGGGGGGGGGTTGAGGACTTGATCTGGGTTTGTTTGTAGGCTCTATACTTTGCAGAGGGCAGGGGTCTAGGGGAACCCGAAACCCTAAACCCTAAATCTTAAACCCTGAACCCTAAATCCTAAACACTACACCCTAAACCCTAAACCCTTACGCCCCTCGGTGCACGACGTTTCCTCGAAGTTTTGAAGGCTCCCGACATGGCAGCGCTCGGGAGTTCCTCCACGTAGGCTCTAGACAAAAAGAATAAAAGTAAATATCAATATAGCTAAACCAAGAAATATAAGTTATATATATATATATATTATACATATATATATATGTATAAGTAGGTCAATAAGTAAGTAAATTAATAAATAAATATAAATATAGATAAATAAATAAATACGTATATATATATATATATGTTTTTTTATATTTATATACATATTGGTTTTATGCATATTTAATATAGGTTACCTAAACCCTAGCCCTAAACCTGAAACCCTAAACCCAAAACAACCCAGGCATAGGTTTCTCCAAGTAAGGCTTCTTCGCTTGAGGCCACGATGTCGGCCTGCGCCAAGGCCCGACGTTGGACGCAGGTGCACACCCCCGAGCTTTGCGGTCGGGTCTTACAAAGGGTTTAGGGTTTAGGGTTTTGGGGTTTTTGGTTTGAACGCTTGTGGAGGGTGTGGGTGGTCTATGGAGGGGGGTTGCTGTGTGAAGTCGCTAAAGTGTTTTAAGGGCTTGGGGGCGTTTTAAGGGCTGGAGTTGGGGTTTTGAGTCAGGGGGATCGGGAATCGGGCATTGCTTTTTGTTACACCAGCTAAATGCTTTCTGTTCTTGCAGATTCAGAAGGGCTTCGTCTGATGGTCGTAATTTAGGGGCGAAACCCTAAATCCTGAATCCTAAATTGCTACACCCGAGTTCCTAAACTCTAACCCCGGGTGTATAGCGCCGCCATGTCACAAAGACCTAGGCCCAAAGCGAAACCCCCCGAATCCAACATCAACCCTGACAAAATGGGGTTTGGGGGTTTGGTTTAGGGTCACCCTCCCTAAACCCTAAACCCTAAACCCTAAACCCTAAACCCTAAACCCTAAACCCTAAACCCTAAACCCTAAACCCTATAAACCCTAAACCTAAACTGTGTTCAATGAAAGGCTGTGCATCTACTTGGCGAAGGACTCGTATCCCTGGCATGGCCTGCAGAGTTTAGGGTTTAGGGTTTAGGGTTTAGGGTTTAGGGTTTAGGGTTTAGGGTTTAGGGTTTAGGGTTTAGGGTTTAGGGTTAGGGTTAGGGTTTAGGGTTTAGGGTTTAGGGTTTAGGGTTTAGGGTTTAGGGTTTAGGGTTTAGGGTTTAGGGTTTAGGGTTTAGGGTTTAGGGTTTAGGGTCTGTTCACTGCCATGACCGCGTTCGGGTCTCAAGGGCATGCCTTATCTTGCAATATGCAGAGCTTTTGCGGGATTCAATGGTCGTAGACTTAAGAAACCCTAAACCCTATAACCCTAAACCGCAGGAATAGTTGGGTGTTTCGGGCGCAGCAGGTTTAAGCTTAAGGCTTCAGGCTTTTCAGATTAGCTTAGGGTTTGGGCATGCGGTTTTCGAGGTTGGCTTAGAGTTTAGGGCTAAACCCTAAACCCTGAACCCTAAACCCTACACCCTAAACCCAAGCCTCCATGTCCCGAAGTAGGACGCGAAAGCACCTCCCTTTGGAAGCCTGTGGGCCCCCAAGGATATACTACTTGTACATAAGCCCATGGTACAGAAGCCCTAACCCTATGGACCCTCCCTAAGCCCTAAGCCCTAAACCCTAAACCCCTAAACCCTAAACCCCTAAACCCTAAACCCCTAACCCCTAAACCCTAAACCCTAAACCCTAAACCCTAAACCCTAAACCCTAAACCCTAAACCCTAAACCCTAAACCCTAAACCATACACCCTAAACCCTAAACCCTAAACCCTAAACCCTAAACCCTAAACCCTAAACCCTAAACCCTAAACCCTAAACCCTAAACCCTAAACCCTAAACCCTAAACCCTAAACCCTAAACCCCTAAACCCCTAAACCCCAACCCCTAAACCCTAAGCCCCTAATCAGTGTTCAGTGTGCAAATCAGGGCCTGGAAGCCGGTTCTGGCGTTGCCTCTGCACCTCGCAGCCACCTTTTTGGGGAGAGAAGACAGAGCACCCTAAACCCTAAACCCCAAACCCTAAACCAGGCCTTAGAGGCCAGGAGGTCCGAAGATTCAAGCTCTGAATTCTCGGGCTTGCGCGCAACTCACGGAATCGTCTCTGGAACCCAAGGCCCTAAACTAAGCCAGAAACCCTAAACCCTACATCCTAAATCCTAAACCCTGAACCTAAACCCTTAAAATTCAAGACAAGGGTAATGTAACAGCTAGGGTTGAGGATGTAGGCTGTCAGGAAAAAGCCTCTCCCGAATCAATGCTATGAGCACTTAGAGCATTCTCTGCCCTGCATAGTATCACCTCTCATGAATCTCCAGTCTGCAGCGGTGATGGAGCAACAGCTGGAGTACGAGGAATTGGATTCCGGACCAGCGCGGCGTATTTGTATCGCTGCCTATCAATTCGACCGGTGTCTTTGCGCAGCTGTGTTTTGCTTTGTTTGCATCTACCACCTGGCAACCTTCAGCCAAAACCTACTTGCAAAGTTCCGATTGCAGCCCCCTCGGCATGAATATCAGTTCGATTGCGTGCATAATGGCTTTTGTGGCATCACCGACATCGACTGGGAGTCCGATGTCGTGCCCATCTTCACCTTGATCTGGAAGAACCGCTCTGAGACGTCCGTGTACGCCGCGACCGCTTGGCCAAGCCCAGGTGAAGGGGTATATGAGTCCTTTTATTCCCCTATATTATATAGCCCCTATATATATATATATATAAGTATACATAAGTGTATATAAGTATATATACGTATATATAAGTATAAGTATATAAATATATGTACCTTATTATAGCCTCTATAATGTACCTAAGCAGCCCCTAAAGGCCCTAAACAACCCCCTTACAGAACCCCTAAGGTCCCTTATTTAGTGGTCCCTCCTTTAGTCCCTTGACCAGGGAAAGACGAGTGCCTCGTCCTCTGTGCGAAGAATAAGAGCTGCACGGGGTACTCTTGGCGCGGATGGCTGCAGGGGCGGCACAATTTCACGGATTGCCGCTTGGCTCACATTTCGCTCGTTAGAGAGGGTATGTCTGAAATCACTGTGCCCTTGCATAGCTAAAGAAGTCTTCGTCCTAATCGATACTCAACATCCCTTGAAGAGAAGCTTGAAGAACAGGGACCCCCCTCCCTCCCCGACCCCCCCCCCCCCCCCCCCCCCCCCCCCCCCCCCCCCCCCCCCCCCGCCCCCCCAACCCAACGCCTCCAATCCATTCAGAGTGGCCCGCGTTACTATGGTCCTGCGTGCCTTAACAGAGTAGCAGAGATGGCTAAACACTGACCCTCAAGCCCTAAATCCCATGTACATGTGTCAGTGTACTGAGGTGTTCACTGGCACCGTGGCGCGTGCAATGTTACATCCACCTTTGGACGGCTCTGGAAAAGCTGCGGCAGCTCGAACTGCTCAACTTGCACAAGGACTCACATAGCGAATGCAACCAAAGGCGACACTTAACGGCGCCTAGGGTGTAGAGCCTTTAGGGTTAGTGTTTCGGGTTTAAGGTCTAGGGTCAAGGGTCTAGGGTTTCGGCAGCTGCAATACGAGTCTAGATTCAGCGTCTTTGGTGCGATCATGTTGCTAATGGGCAGCGCATCACATCCTGACGCTAGGCCGCTAGGATGCTGTGGCCTGGGCGAGCAGCGTCAAAAGATGAGATTGCGAACCCGCCCCAGCCCTCAAATTCACCAAAGCTACCCACAAGCGCAACACTAGGGTTGTGGGATGTTGTACATTTTCCCTCAAAGGGTTTAAGAGGATCGTATTCAGGAATCCTTCGCAGTGGGTCTTAAGGGCCATCCTTGAACAATCCTTTACCAAAGAAACACCCAACATGCATTTGCCCCGGCAAGCGGCTGGATGCACAGTGGTGCGATGGAGCTGGATCTTGGATCCCCTTCCCCCAAATAAAGCCTAAGCTGCCTAAGCTGCTAACCCTTTAAATATCAGACAGACCCGAGGCTCGAACTCAGAAATCTTGGAAGCATCTAGCAGCCGGACTAAGACTACTGCCTCTTCTACCCTCAACCCCAAACCCTTAACCCTTGAACCATTGGCCTTTGCATCTGAAGCTCTCGATTCCTAAACCCTTTCACGCTACATCCGCACGACCTTGTAACCCTTCGTCCCTAAACCCTGAAAACCCGTTGGGATGAACCCCTCCCACTTATTCTAACAGTCCTTAATCTGGATTATAGTAACCCCCTTATCATAATCCCTCTTCAGGACAGTGAGTTTAAGGTGGAACATCCCAACCTAAACCCTTAAACCTTTAAACTTTGGGGCCCTGGTGTTCTCCAGAAGCGGGCCTTGCAGACGATGCCCACCACCTGAACAATTCCGTCAACCTGATGATCCTAATTACTGTCTCCTTTTTTTTTGGGGGGGGGGGGGATTAGCATAGTATAGTCATAAACGGGGCCATAAGGGAATGCTAGTAGGAATTCTTCCGACTTCTATATTGTCTCTTTTTGGAGGATTCGTGAGAGGTTCATGAGAACTTGTAAGATAAGTAGGCGAGCTATGGTTCGTTCTAGCCCTACTTCAAAAAGTGCCCTTACCAAAGCCCCAAACCCTGCCTACAAGGGACGCATGAACCTTCCGACATGTTAGGGTTCAGGGTTTAAGGCTTAGGGTTTAGGGTTTAGGACCCTAAACCCTACAACCCTAAGGCCTGACCAGCGCCAGGTCAACCGCGTGGCTTTGGACACCGCCAGCTACAACACGGTCCTGGAGCGCCTGCTGCACGCGTGAGGGTTTAGGGTGTAGGGTGTATAGGGTTTAGGGTTTAGGGTTGCGCTCGGGTTGTTGCCCTATACACAATAAGCCCTACTGCAAGCCCTAAACGCCGTGGTAGTTTCGTGTTTGGGGAGGTCGTTTAGGGATGCGCCCAAACCCTACAGAAGCCCTGAGCCCCAAACCCCAAACCCCAAATCCTAAACCCTAAACCCCAAACCCTAAACCCTAAACCCCAAACCCTAAACCCTAAACCCCAAACCCTAAACCCTAAACCCCAAACCCTACAAGCCCGAAGCCTGATCTCCTGAAGGACGCCCTGCGTGCCCACAGTCGTCTGGCACAGGCGTTGCTGGCGGAGATGGCGGTGCAACAGTTGGCACCTAGAAACTTACCTAACGAGTGGGTTCGTTAGGGTTCTTCGGATTGTTAGGGATAGAAGGTTTTGTGATTTTGGGTTGTTGGGGTTACTGGTTTTTTCCGCGGTATTATGGTTTGGGGTTTAGGGTTGCTTGCGTTGGAACAATCTGACACTTTGTGATTCGTGGGGGGGGGGGGGGGGGGGGACTTGTAGGAACTGACAGCTTAGGGTTTAGGGTCTGGGGTTTAGGGTTTAGGGTTTAGGGTTTAGGGTTTAGGGTTTAAGGTGGCGTTCTTCAACTGTTCTGTTTGAGGTTTTGATGTCGTTCGTTCGAGTGTCCGTGAGCGGTTCGGAAGGCCTACCCCTCACCAAGCCTCCTCCTCCACACAGCAGCCTCTCAATTTCCTGGACTCCCCAAACCTATAGGGTTTAGGGTTTAGGGTTTAGGGTTTAGGGTTTAGGGTTTAGGGTTTAGGGTTTAGGGTTTAGGGTAGTTATATCTAAAGCCTTTCAATTCCTAAGTGCTCCAAATCTTAGAAGTCTTGCAGGTTCATGTGTGGTATACTGGCGGTTAATTAGAGCAGCTGCTGCTAGAGCTGGTTGTAGCTACCCAAGAACATTCAACTGCACCCTAGGCCCTGAGCCCTTTCCCCCCTAAACCCTAAACCCCAAACTCCCTAAACCCTAAAGCCAAAACCCTAAAACCTAAACTCCCTAATCTCCCTAAACTCCCTAAACTCCCTAAACTCCCTCAACTCCCTCAACTCCCTAAACTCCCTAAACTCCCTAAACCCCGTACAACGTAGCCGTGAGCCAGCAAACCCTGCCTGAGACATGGTATCCTTCGGTGCTGTCGGCGCGGCTTTTGCCCAGGGACTGCAGTGGATCGAGGCCCCTTGGGTTAGGGTGGGGGGAAGTGAACGGTTTAGGGCTCAGGGTTTATAGAGCTCAGGGTTTAGGGTGTAGGCTTCAGGGTTTAGGGTTAAGTAGAGTTTAGGCATGCAACAACAATAGGGATTTTCGAATTTCAGTTCTTTTGGTTGTCTCAGCCCTCAGCCCTAAACCCTAAAGCCTGCCCTATACGCCCTTCTTGATGACTACAAACTTTCAACCCTAAACCCTAAACCCTAAACCCTAAACCCTAAATCCTTTCTGAGCCCTCAGCCTTGGCCCTGTGACTTCTTGGACGGTGGTTATTCCCCTAGTTGCTCTCGTATTTAGGCAGGGACTTCGACACACTCGTAAACTTTTTGACCCTAAACCCCAAACCCTAAACCCCAGACCCTAAACCCTAAACCCCAGACCCTAAACCCTAAACCCTAGACCCTAGACGTCTCCAGGGCTGGCTTTTGTGCCAGGCGCTGGAATTGATGAAGCACGCCCAGGCGAAGTGCTGTTTTTGGGGTTCCAAGGCTTAGGGTTCAGGCTTTACGGTTCAGGAGGTTCGTGCGTAGGGTTTAGGGCTTAGGGTTTGGGGTTTGGGGTTTAGGGTTTAGGGTTTAGGGTTTAGGGTTAGGTTTTGGGGTTTAGAGTAGTTTAGAGTACGGTTAGGGAGGTTCATGTGTAATTGTGTAATGCAAAAGTGGAGCCTTTGTAGCACAAGATACAGCGGGCCTTCGAACCTGATAACGACCCATGAGCCTTTGAGCGACTAGGCGCCGGGGTTTCATCCCTCCCCCCCCCCCCCCCACCTCCCCCCAAAGCAAAACCCTGACCTCACACGAAGTGGAGTGTTAGGGGAGGGTGCTTCCTAAACCCTCTAAACCCAACCCCAAGCACTCAACCGGATTCCGCTGGTCCACCTCTCACCCCTCAAGGCCTTTGAGGCCTGAACCCTTACCCTCAGGCTCAAAATTGAGCCCAAGCACCTTACATAATAAGGCCTTCGGCCCCTTAAACCCTTAAACGAGAGTCCTTGGAGCCTTAGGCTTAGTCCCTGAAGGGCTCTTTTGGCCCTTGGATTTGGCCTCGCACCTGCGTAGGATGCTTCCGTCGCCCTGAGCACCATCACCTGCAACAGCCTCATCACCGCCTGCGAGCAGCTGGGACAAGGAAAGCCCCAAACCCTGAATTGCCCAGAGCCTCGGGCTAGGGCTGCAAGGAAGCCCCAAAAACCCTGAACCCTAAACCCTATACTTGGAGGTTCAGGCACTACCTACACCTTACATGCACCTAGGCACCTGGCTTGAAATTTTCACTTTTGGCTACGCCACTGAAGAAACCCGTTAAACCCACAAAGGCTCAGGACCTACGATTGCAGCAAAGATTCGCAGAGATGCCCTCAAAGTCTCAACCCTAATATTATTCCTCGCCTGGCTTGTCGTCCTTATCCGGGAGGAGTTCTTGGCTCTGGCGTGGGAATAGATTTGGATGGGCTCGAACATTGCCTAACGATTGAGGATTTGGGCTTGGTAGGGTTGAGGGTTTGGGGTTTAGGGTTTAGGGTTTAGGGTTTAGGGTTAGGGTTTAGGGATGGCCGTTGAGAGTCTGTGAGGGTCCCTTGTGGGCGACTCCACGAAAGAGCAACACACGCGCACACACCCACACAGCAGGCCGCTGATCAACAGTGAATTCAGCTACATACCTTCGGCCCAACAGTCATCGTGCAGCCCTAAGGCCCAGCAACCCCTCTGCGTTGGATGAAGGTTCAGTCCTGTACACGGTAGAGTTTAGGTTGACTTTCGGCTCTGGGTCGAGAGCATGATGGCATATGCCGAATTTGACCCCGAAACCCAACTAAGCCCAGCGACACTCGACCCGAAACCCTCCTAAGCTCTCGATCCTAAACCCGAAGCCCGGAACCCCAAGCCCTAAGCCCTAAACCCTAAACCCACCAAGCTAAACTGGAGGCGTGCCACCCAATGGTCTGTTTGCCTTGAGCTCCTTGGCGATCTGGGTGCGGCCGCCAGCATCGTCTCCTTCAACGCTGCTTGGAAGCCCTGGTTGAGGGTTTAGGGGGCAGGGTTTAGGGTTTAGGGTTTAGGGTTTAGGTTTTAGGGTTTAGGGTTTAGGGCTTATAAGGTTTAGGGTGTAGGGTGTAGGGTTTAGGGTGTAGGGTTTAGGGTTTAGGGCTTGAAGCCGTTTTTTGACTTGTAAGTACGGTTAGTAAGATGGGTTAGGAGGATTTTAACTTGGGGGGTGCAAAAGAGCTTCCAAGTTCCTGGTGAGCGAAACCAGACCCATAGGGTTTAGGGTGTAGGGTTTAGGATTTAGGGTTTAGGGTTTAGGGTTGTTTAGGGGGGTGTTACGGGTTGTAAAGGGGCTGAAAGGGTTCAAGGGATCAGGCCTTTAAGGGGGTCAAGGGCTATGAGGGTCTTCAGGGTTCATGTCTTGATGGTTTGGAACTAAGGGTTTCCAGATTTCCGAATCACAAAGTAACAACCTTATGAGCCCTAACACCCCCCCCGGCTCGGGAATGAACCCCTATGTACACCCCAAACCTGAAAACCCTGAACCTCTAACCTATGAAACCCGCGCTTGCCCGTTCAAATCCCCCAAAGGATGCTCCAAGTCTCCTTCGGCTGTCGGATACTTAAGGGGAAGGGGGGTCTAGGGCTTGGGGTTGAAGGCGGGGGTAGGTAACTTTCCCGATGCTCTGCAGGGTTACCATCGGGCATCTTCCTTACTTTTGCAGAGGTCGTTAACAGTCCGCAGCCACTCCTTGCAAGATCTTGAGCCCCTATGTGTTCGCCAACGAGGCTGCAATCAGTGCCTGCGCCCGCGATCAACGTAGTCAACGCGCTTGGCCCCTTTGTTGCGGACATGAGGGTCTTTCCCAAACTTCGGGGTGCCTTGGTCCCTAAGCCCTAAACCCGAGGCCTTAGACACGGGCTTTTTGCCCTTGGCCCTTGACCCAAGCTTGTAAGGGCTGTATGGGTCATGTGGCTAAGGGTCTTGGGGATGCAAGGGTGATATGGGCTAAAAGGGCAATCAGGGGTCTGAGGGTTCCAAGGGTTATAAGCCTAAGCCTCCAAGGACTCTTGTTGACCAAACGTTGTGCGATGTACGTTTTCAGGCTGTTTTTGAGACTAGGGAACCTTGCCTAGCCCCGCATCCTGCAGCCCGGATGTTGGTGTCTTAATACTGTACTGCATGCGAGAAGCACCCCCGTGGCGCAGGGCGAACTAGCATGCAATCCGTGCTGGAAGTACAGCTATAGGCTTCGGGTTTAGGGCAGGACCTGCTAAGTAACACGGTCGAAAGTTAAAGGTACAAAGTTGGGGATTGCGGTTGTACCCCCCTTGGAAATTATTATAATTTTTGTTTATATAAAACCCAAGAAGATATTAAACATATTATGTTTATTAAGGTTCTAAGGGGAGTATAGAGTCAAGGCAGCTCTACCAGCAGCTTCAAGCCGCTCGCCTGGAGCCCAGCAACCCGGCTACCTCGAATCCAAAGGCTCCGCGTAGCCACATGGGAGTTGCCATTCTGTTGAGGTACTCCATAGCACCTACACGTACATCTAGTGGCCTCTCCTTACGTCTCCCCCCCAAAAAAAAACTCAACAGCATGTTTTTGGAAACCCTCAAATTCGGTAAGTAGTGCTTAGATTTAAAAACGGACTATGCAATATTGTTCGGGCCAAGCTTGTTGCCTCCTTGACAACTCAGACCGCAAGGCATGGTCACCTTCAACGCCCTCATCCATGCACAAAGTCGACGCTTGGTTGAGTGGGTTTCAGTAGAGTTCCCAAGGATCCATGTACCAGTAGTGGACCCTAAAGCAAGTACACAGGACCCCTGTAGGGGCCCAAGTATATACCGTGCTTGTACATGGATCCTTTGAGGTTCATGATCAGAACCCTGCCGTAGCAATATTTACCATACTTTCCTACAAATAACGCCACGACCCTGAACCTTGAACCTCCAAACGGTCACTTTTCTAAAAATTGTCCCTTTTGGGGTCCTTATTATGAAGGCGGCCCCGAGAATGTAGGGTACCCTCAAGAAAGGGGGCCAACTTTAGGGAGCTGCACATATGGGTTGCAGGATTAGGGTTTAGGGTTTAGGGTTTAGGGTTTAGGTTTTAGGGTTTAGGGTTCAGGGTTCAGGAGCCTCCATGCTGGATCTTGTCCACGTGCTCCTCCGAGACCTGGGCCAGAGGAAGCTGCAACCAGACGCCGTGACACACAACGCCGCTGATCGGCAGGGCTTACGGTTTCGGGTGCGGGTTTAGGGTTTAGGGTTTAGGGTTTAGGGTTTAGGGTTTAGGGTTTAGGGTTTAGGGTTACGGTTCAAGGTTTAGGGAAGCTCTAAACCCTAAACCCTGAGTAGGTTTGCCTGGAAGTAAGAACTGGACTTCAAGAAATCTGAACTAAGGCTCCGGCATTCTACAGGGACACACGCCCGAACCTGAACACAACTCAGAACCGACAATGAAGTATCGCATTCAAACAGAATAGCCAACCCTACCTAAACCACTAAACCACTAAACCCTATAAACCCTATAAACCCTATAAACCCTATAAACCCTATAAACCCTATAAACCCTATAAACCCTATAAACCCTAAACCGTAAACCCTACACCCTACACCCTACACCCTACACCCTACACCCTACACCCTACACCCCACACCCTACACCCTAAACCCTAAACCCTAACCCTAAACCCTAAACCCTAAACCCGAACTCAGGCCATCATCGCTGGCTGCGCCTCACGCCACCTCTGGGAGCGAGCCTTGCACTATGGGGAGAGCGTTCCGAGGAAGGATGTGGCACGGCAGCAGGGTTTAGGGTTTATAGGGTTTATAGGGTTTATAGGGTTTATAGGGTTTATAGGGTTTATAGGGTTTATAGGGTTTATAGGGTTTATAGGGTTTATAGGGTTTATAGGGTTTATAGGACTTATAGGGTTTATAGGGTGTATAGGGTTTATAGGGTTTATAGGGTTTATAGGGTTTATAGGGTTTAGGGTTTAGTAAGGAGCGGCACGCGGAAGGAGTCTTCGGAACCCGGAAGACTTACACAACAGTTGATAGGGTTGACGGCTTGAGGTTTAACATCTTTAGGGTCTAGAAGGTTTGGGGTTATAGGGCGGGTTGAGAGTTTAGGGTTCAAGTTCTTGTGGGTTTGTAGGGCTTAGAGTAGACCTTCTCCACGGCTTTAAAAAAGAGAGAACGAACCAAATGCGCTGGGAAGTACGTGGGGAGTCAGTCAACCCGCTGATGTGCTTAATCTTCCCTCTGCGTGTGCTACGCCGCTGCCTCTCGGGTTTAGGACTGGACCCTAAAACCCCAGCTGCTGCTGGGGCTCAGAAGTTCACGGTGGTTTCCGTTTGTGGACGTGTTCGAGAAGCGACGCATTTGGGTGAGGGGGGGGGCTTAGGTGGGTTGGGCCTTGGAGACTTGAGGGGCCGTCCGAAGATGCTTGCCATGCTTGCCTACACCTTCGATCAACCCATACAAGCCTGGTATGATGATTTACAGTTTGTTGGTTGTTAGGGTTTAGGTCATCCATGCATTCCCACGTTTTCAATCTGGTCGAGGTCATTACCTACAACGGCCTCATCACTGCTTGCGAGAAGGGACAGCAGTGGGAGCAGGCTATAGCGAAGTCATTCCTGAACCTTTTAAGCCCTAAACCCTAAATTCCTTTAAACCCCAGTAGGGGTTATTCTACATCGCCTGCTCGTATGGAAGGTTTCAGGTTTAGGGTTGTGTGGGTAGTTCTAGGTAGGGTTGAGTTTTTTTTTTCCCGGACCTTTCCGGCACTCAGCCCAATACTAAACCTGTTTGAGAATTTGGGGGGGGGGGGGGGGGGGGGTTGAGGGCCTCCGCCCTTGAGTTGAGCCATTCGGGTTTCAGGGTTTAGGGTTTAAGACAAGGCTCAGAGGACTTTCAGGGTTTAGGCTCAAGGTCTGGGCTTCGGATTTCAGGCTTTAGGTTCTAGGACCCCCTAGTTTTGAATATTGTTCCGACCCAGGTGAATTTGAGAATTACGGAGAGGGGGGGGGGGGGGGGGGGGGGGGGGGGGGGGGGAGGGGGATTTAGTATTCCGGGGAGGGATTACAACCTGAGTATAGGGGTAGGAAAGACTAGCCAGTTTTAACTCTAGTCGTCCGAGTTGATAGCCCTAGTTTACCTATGAACCTCCAAGTAGACCCTAAACCCTAGACCCCAAACCCCAAACCCCAAACCCCAAATCCCAAACCCCAAACCCCAAACCCCAAACCCCAAACCCTAAACCCCAAACCCCAAACCCCAAACCCCAAACCCTAAACCCTAAACCCTAAACCCTAAACCCTAAACCCTAACCCTAAACCCTAAACCCCAAACCCTAAACCCTAAACCCTAATGTCGCTTCCATGGCGGCCTTGAGTTCATGTGTGTCTCAGGTCTCTGACCCAGTCCTTTAGGGTTTAGGGTTTAGGGTTTAGGGTTTAGGGTTTAGGGTTTAGGGTTTAGGGTTTACGGGATGGTCCTGAACCTTCAAAGTTGGTTTTGCAGCATCATACACATTGGTGCCCTAAACTCTAAGCCCTAAGCCCTAAACCCTAAACCCTAAACCCCCTAAACCCAACGAGCTCGCCATCAAGGTGCAAAGAGAATTTCGCGACAGATTCGGACTGGGCGCCAACGCATTAAAAACGTCCTTGGGAGTTGCCCAAACGTGTTCTCAAAAGGCCTGCGCTGCAAAACCCGTTGCCGGGCACAGCTGCCTTCAAGCGGCACCGGCCTGCAGTCAAACGGAACGGTAAGCCCAAAGGAACGAGACAGCAGTAGGTGTCGGCTTGATACCATTCGCACACACCCTAACCCTAAACCTTAAACCCTACACTGCTACACCCTACCATAACACTAAACCCTAAACCCTACACCCTAAACCCTGCACCCTGCACCCTGCACCCTACACCCTACACCCTACACTGCGCCAGGCCCTGATGTTCCTGGCCCGACTTCATCAGGCCCTACAGCGTCCATCACCTCAAGGGTTTAGGGTTTAGGGTTTAGGGTGTAGGGTTTAGGGTTTAGGGTTTAGGGTTCAGGTTTTTAGGGTTTAGGGTTTAGGGTTCAGGGTTCAGGGATCAGGGTTCAGGGTTCAGGGTTTAGGGTTTAGGGTTTAGGGTTTGGGGCAAGTCTAGGGGTCAGGGCTTGCTCTTAAGAGTGGTTTCGGGTTTCTATAGGGTTTGTATACGGTTTGTATCGGGTTTTTGGAGGGTTCAGGATTTATTTAGGGTGTTTGGACATGAGGGCTCCCTAAACCCTAAACCCTAAACCCTAAACCCTAAACCCCTACAGTTTATAGGGGTTTAGGGTTCAGGGGTGTCTCTCGAAGCAAGCTTTGGGAGCTTGGGGCCCGAGATTCTTGGTGCAAATATGGGTGTCCCCTAAACCCAAAACCGTAAACTCTAAGCCCGAAACGACATCCCAAGAGTCCTTAGCAGCCCCTGGGCCCTTCTCTTGTAATCCTACTTATAATTACTTATGGTCCTTCAAACAACTTAACACCATGTCCATAACAGCGGAACAGGGCCTGAAAGGTTTCTTGGGTGCACCTACTCTGCTTCTGTTTATGAATATAGCCCCTAACCCTGAAAAACACCCTAAACCCTAAACCCCAAGCCTTAATCCTTAAACCCTGGGCCCTAAGGAGCCCAGGCTTTCTTTCACCCCTAAACCCTAGCCCTAAACCCTAAACCCTAAACCCTAAACCCTAAACCCTAAACCCTAAACCCTAAACCCTAAACCCTAAACCCCGAGCCCTAAAGAACCCGAGCTTCCTTCTGCCCCTAGGCGAAGTTCCAGGGCACCGTGGTCTCTTTCAGCGCCGCCATCAGCGCCTGTGAGCAGGCGAGCAGCTCGGGGTGCAGGGCTTGCCTGGAGTAGTTTTTTTGTTTTATTTGTTATGTTTTTTGTTTGTTTTTTAGATGAGTTGCAATAGTTTTTTTAATGGTTTTTTGTAGTAGGGCTTATATGGCTTTATCGTTGTTTGCAGGTTGTTTACGGTTTTTTTTTCTAGTTTTTTGTCCGTTTTTGTTCCATAGGGTTGGTAGGGTGTACCTGACAACAGGGGGTACCTCGACGTTTCATAGATACTTAGAGAAGTAGGGTTACAAGTGCCCTAAATAAGGGTTGTAACCATCGCGGCCCCAGTACCCGTGAAGAAACCCTGTAACCCTAGAACCCTCTAGCCCTACCTATAAGTGCCCATGAACCCCCAAGAAGGTTTGCCAATAGTTCATAGGCACATTTCCCTGCTGCAAGGGTGGGAGGGTGTCTTCAGGTTCTCGATCCAAGGCTCAGGGTTGAGGGTCGAGGGGGTCTAGGGTTTAGGGCTAGGTTCAGGGAAGGTGTAAAGTTTACAGGTCGATGGTGTACTTCGGAGTTCATTTTTGTGCAGGGGCATGCCTCGGACCCCCCCCCCCTCCCCCAAGAATTCCGACTGCGCCGCCGAATAAACCGCCCTAAGCGCGCAACCCTTAAGCCCTAAGCCCCCTGATACCCCTCAGCCCATCATGCCTCCAACACGAAACCTCCGGGGCCAATCCCTAAACCCTAAATCCCAAAACCCTAAACCGGAAGCCCTAAACCCTAGACCCTAAACCCTAAACCCTAAGCCCTAAACCCTAAGCCCTAAACCCTAAACCCTAAGCCCTAAGCCCTAAATCCTAACCCGAAACCCTAAACCCTAAACCCTAACTCCTAAACCCTTTTTTGGGAAGTCCTGGGTCGGATGGGTACCTACTGTATCACTAAGCCTCAGAACCCCTAAGCCCTAAACCCTAAACCCTAAACCCTACCTTGTGTCCCTTTGCCTGGGCCAGGTGCAGAGCTGGCCAGCAGTGACTCGGCTGTGAGCCTGCTTTGCTTGGTGTAGGATTTAGGGTTTAGGGTTAGGGCTTAGGGTTTAGGGTTTAGGGTTTAGGGTTTAGGGTTTAGGATTTCGGGTTTAGGGTTTAGTGTTTAGGGTTTATAGAAATTATATAGGGTTTGTGTCCGGAGTTTTGGGGGGGTTTTGCCGGGTTTTGCCGGGTTTTGTTTTTTTGCTTTTGATGAGAATCGGGGAGGTCTTGTTGGGGGGTTTGGGGTTGTTTTGGTATCTTTCGGGGCTTAGGGTCTTTCTTGGTACCCTGCAAGCCATGCTTTTGCCTTATTTGTGCACTGTGAAGGATGAAAGGGTTGTTGCACGAGCTGCTCGTAATGAAATGCATACAATTTCTATTTATCCTGGCCTTGAGGGTTTAGGGTTTAGGGTTTCGCGTTTCGGGTTTAGGGTTTAGGGTTTAAGACTTAGGGTTTAGGCTTTAGGGTAGATGTTCGCAAGCAAATCCGAGTTGTTAGCCGTAGGAAGCCTGGAGAAGTAAGGTGATCGAACTCCTCGCGGGCATGGACCGCCAGGAGATGGAGGCCAACGTGCGCGGGTCGCAGACATGGGGTTCAGGGTTTGCGGTTTAGGGTTTAAGGTTTAGGGTTTAGGGTTTAGGGTTTAGGGTTTAGGGTCACTTGAGGGTCCCAGGATGCGCAGTACCCTTTCTGTATCTCAGGGGTACGCCTTAAGCCATTGGGATCCCAGTTGTGTTTGCAGGATTTTTCCTGAGGGTAGAGGGTTTACAGGATTCAGAGGGATTGAGAGGGATTGAGGTTTCGGGGCAGAGGGCCCGAAGCCCTAAACCCTAATGCCTTGGGGGAATGTATGGTATGGTGCTTGGGATTTCGTGGGTTGTTAGTCCTGGGAGCTATAAGTAGAGCAACTTACCTCCTAGCAACATCCTAAACCTTAGGGCCTTGATCACCCCCTTGAGGTCCAATACTTTGGTTCTTGGGCTAATTTTGTCAAGCTAACTAGACCCCAAGAAGGGTATCTTTATTGCGGCACATGTTGGAAACCACAAACCCCAAACCCCAAACCCCAAACCCCAAACCCTAAAACCCTAAAACCCTAAACCCTAAACCCAAAGAAAAAAACACTTAGCAAAGGTAATCACGTACAGCTCTGCTGCCAGTGCCTTCGAGAAAGCGAGCCGCTGGTCGGAGGCAGACCCCTAAACCCTAAACCCTAAACCCTAAACCCTAAACCCTAAACCCTAAACCCTAAACCCTAAACCCTAAACCCTAAACCCTAAACCCTAAACCCTAAACCCTATGATAGGTCTGAGGGTTCAGGGGCCCTGGGGTTCAAGATATTCGGGTTCGGTGCTTCTGCTACTGTGTGGCTGCCATCCAAACTTGAAGGTTCATGAGTTGTTCTGAGTAGGGCTGGAAGCACCCCGAAGAAGGTTGTACCCATAGTTACTCTACTTCTGGGCCCTACTTGAAAGTACCCATGAACCCCAACCATATAACCGTGCAACCCTACAACCCTGCAACCTCACAACCCTACTTACAAGTACCCATGAACCCTGAACCCTACAACCCTGTAACCCTACAACTCTACTTGAAAGTGCCTATGAACCCAATAACCCTATAACCGAACCATACTTCTCTTACCTCCAAGTTTGTGGCGTTTTTGACTTGGGCTTCTGGGCCTTCCAGGGGAAAGGGGGGAGGGGGAGAGACTTCGAATGGAGATGTCACCTCATCTGACCAGGGCGTTTTCGCAATTCAGTGTTTAGGTGCGTTTCCACAGTTGAATGTTTTGGCTGCCCATACTTCCACGGTCGACTTTTTGGGCAAATTCCCTGAAAGCAGCAAGCCATCCGAGGGTTTGGGGTTTAGGGTTTAGGGTGTAGGGGCTTAGCGTTTAGGCCTTACGGTTTAGGGCAACCCTAAAACCCTAAATCCTAAACCCTAAACGGAACCCATCTTCATAAATCGCAAAGTGGCACAGGTCCTGTGGCTGCTCTCCGAGATGACCAAGCGAGAGCTGCAGCCGAACGCGCGGGCCTTGACCCCGCCACACCTCTGACATGCGGTTTAGTGTATATAAAGGGTTTAAAAGGTTTAAAGGGTTTAAAGGGTTTTAAGGGTTTTCAGGGTTTTAAGGGTTTTAAGGGTTTAAAAGGTTTAAAGGTTTGAAGGGTTTAAAGGGTGTAAAGGGTTTAAAGGGTTTAAAGGGTTTAAGGGTTTAAAGGGTTTAAAGGGTTTAAAGGGTTTAAAGGGTTTAAAGGGTTTAAAGGGTTTAAAGGGTTTAAAGGGTTTAAAGGGTTTAAAGGGTTTAAAGGGTTTAAAGGGTTTAAAGGGTTTAAAGGGTTTAAAGGGTTTAAAGGGTTTAGGGTTTAGGGTTTCTAAAGCAACCCTAAACCCAAGCCTCAAGTTTGAAAACGTACCCTTAGCAGAAGCAAAGAAATCCCCAACCCCCCCCCCCAAAAAAAAAAAAAAAAAAAAAAAAAAAAAACGCCCTGTCAGGACCCACCATGAGTAGCCCAGAAACTTGCCAACACGAAGTGTACCAACATTTTTGGTACCTGTTCGGTTCCTTTAAACGCTGAAACCCAGATCCTAAACCCTGAGCCCTGCACCCTACAGAAGGGGTTTATAGGCATTTACAACCTTAAACCCTAAACCCTAAACCCTAAACCCTAAACCCTAAACCCTAAACCCTAAACCCTAACCCCTAAACCCTAAACCCTAAACCCTAAACCCTAAACCCTAAACCCTAAACCCTCAACCCTGCCTCAACCCGAGGAGTCCAGGTATTATGGGATCAGGGCTCTTGGGCTTCAGGACTTCAGGGTCCTTGGGGCTCAAGTGCTTCAGGTGTTTTAGGATTTTAGGTTTAGGGTTTAGGGTTTAGGGTTTCGGGTCTGAGGGATCTAGAGCTTCAGAGGTTGTTTGAATAAAGGGCCAGGGATCGCGGGCTTCAGAGGTTTTAGAGTTTAGGGTTTCGGAGTCCGATAGTAGGGTAGGGTTTAGGGTTCAGGGTTTCGCGTGCGTCACCTTGCTTTGACATGCAACTTCGTGCCTTAGCTCCCGAAGGCAATGACGAAGTTGGCCCTAAAACCCGACAAAAGCCTGGCACCCCGAAACCCGAGGCCCTGATGTCCCGGCCAACCGACCGCGCTCTGCTACAATTGGGCCCGGTTGTTGACGCAGATCTTGTCAGCACTTACAGTCTTAGGGTGTAGGATGGAACATGCGTGGGAACATTCATGTTTGCACCATGGACGTACTGCACTCCTGCTCCTGACCCTAAACCCTAAACCCTAAACCCTAAACCCTAAACCCTAAACCCTAAACCCTAAACCCTAAACCCTAAACCCTAAACCCTAAACCCTCGGATGCTCTGCGCTGTCTCTGAGGTCATCACCTACACTTCAGCCATGAGCGGGTGCGAGATGTCCCAGCGTTGGGAGCATTCCCTGCTGCTCTTTCAGGACCCGATAAGTCCTAAACCCTAAACCCGAAACCCTACACCCTAAACCCTAAACCCTGAACCCTGAACCCTGAACCCTAAACCCTAAACCCTAAACCCCCATTTCTGCATCTGCCGAGCTCGGTCGACTTCTAGGGCTCGAGCATACAGTTCAGTTGGGAGATGCTGGGATGCGGTTTCTTTCTGCGCTGCTGCAGAAACTTGTTGAAACCCCCCCAAAAGTGGGGTTTAGGGTTTAGGGTTTAGGGTTTAGGGTTTAGGGTTTCGGGTAGTGCTAAGCCCCGTGAAAGTATACAGGCTATGATATCACCTGTTCGAAAGTCGAAAGTCCTAAGCCTTTAAAGCCTTCAAGGTTGGAGTTTGCACAAGGCCTCTACAGGGTTTGGGGATGAGGTGACAGAAGCCCTGAGGGTCCATGTACCATATTTGAATATGTTTGGGCAATTCCCTATTTAGGTACCCCCCAAACCCTAAACCCTAAAACCTATGTAGGTACATGTAGGTACATGGACCCTGAGGGAAGCAGTTCCCCTCTCTCTCAGGACATGCAGAGGCTTGCTCTGGCTCCCGGTGTGCCCCTGATGGTTCAGGGAATTTGGGGTTTAGGTTTAGGGTTTTAGGGTTCAAGGGTTTTAGGGTTAAACCCTAAACCCTAAACCCTAAACCCTAGGGTTTAGGGATACGAGCTAGACAGTTTGAGACTTCTCGGCCCGGGTGGACCTTCATTCCTCAGATCGCAAGGGGGAGACTCACTTGCCCTTTGAGCCACCTCAGGCCGCCCTGATTGAATTTCAGGTTTCGCAGCAGTGGGCTGTCATATACATAATATATCTATACATGTATATAACCAAAGCCCATATAGATATTGGTATGTATATCTATACGTATATATATATATATATAGAGAGAGAGAGACACAGAGACAGAGAGAGAGAGAGAGAGAGAGCGAGAGAGAGCCTTGAACCTTAAACCCTAAACCCTGGGGTCCCCCCTAAGCAACAGTAAGGTGCTGGTCCGCAACGTCGCGGCGCTGGCCCTTGAGAAAGGCCAGCGGCTCCCAGCGTCGCGCACGAAGGCCCTGGAGTTTGGGGTAGGGTTTGGGGTTTGGGGTTTGGGGTTTAGGGTTTAGGGTTTAGGGTTTAGGATTTAGGATTTAGCGTTTAGGGTTTAGGGTTTAGGGTTTACGGTCCAGGGGAAGTGTCATACCGATACTGGTGTTTGAGGGGGTGTGGGGAGGGCACCGAGGACAGCTACAGGCATGTGTGGGGGATCTGTTCTACCGGTCGCCATTGAGCACCAGTAAGGTGTGGTTGTGGCAAGATTGAAACACTTTGGTTCCCGGTCGCCACGAACCGGGGATTTCCGAACATTCCGGGTACCTCTATTGTGGGAGATGCCCAGACATGAAGCGTTCTGTAAGTATGGCTTTATAGCTACGTGAAGGCTATTGAGCTTAAAAACCCTAAACCCTAAACCCTAAACCCTCAACCCTCAACCCTAAACCCTAAACCCTAAACCCTGGCCTTAACTGGCTTTAATCTTGCATGCCCGTAGCCCTGAGCCCTATACCAAGACTTGAGGTGCATCTCCCCTTTTTCAAACAGTCCAGCGTCTATAGGTTACTTTAGGTCCCTAGGCAAACCCTAAACCCTAAACCCTAACCCCTAAACCCTAAACCCTAAACCCTAAACCCTAAACCCTAAACCCCATGCCCTAAACCCTAAACCCCTCTCCATGCTGTCTGAGGCCCAGCGGCTTCTCATGGCCTCCACGCTACGCTGCGGCCAGATGTCTGCCAGAGGGGAAGTGGTCTGGAGCCCAGGGCCTCCCCAGGTAGATGGGTTTAGGGTTTAGGGTTTCGGGTGTGTAGGGTTTAGGGTTGTTTGGGGGTCTAGGTTGGGATGTTCCCCCTTATCCTAACAGTCCTGAATAGGGATGATGATACCCCCTATATAGTATAACCCCTGTTAAGGACTGTTAGTACCAGGGGGAACATCCACTGGTTTGGGGCTTCAGTTTTAGGGCTTATGGGTGTCAAACGGTTAGGGTTTGGGTCAAGGGTTTAGGGGTTTGGGGCTGTTGTGTTCAGCTGGCGGGAACACGCTTGAAATGCCTGTCAAGATCACTGAAATGCCTCGACAAGTTGCCCCCAAATTGGGACCCTAAACCTTAAACCCTAATTAAACCCTAAACCCCAAACCCTAAATCGATTTTAGGCTTGAGGGTAAACGGTCTCCCTCACTCTCTCAATGCCCTGGACCTCAACGAAAAACCTCCAAAACCCTGAGCCCTTGACGTTCTTGAAGCCTCAAAGCTCTCCTAAATGCCTTAATTACCCTAAATGCCCAAACCCTAAACACCAGAATCCCCTTATCCGCCTTCAAAACAACCCTGAGAGAAAAATAAAAAAAAATTCTGAGACCCGCATCTTGCCGGAACCCGGGCACGTCAAACAACGAAAGGGGGCCAGGGTTTAGGGTGGAGGGTTTAGGGCTGAGGCTTGCACCACCCCATCCCACCCGACTCCCCTCACACTAGTTGGTGTGGGTTGTTGGAACACGGGTCCTAGATTGCCACGAGGTTTTCGGCATTTTTGGCAATGTATGGCCTGTTTCCGGCTTTGGAGGGGGGGGGGGGGGGGGGGGGGGATAAGACCGTCATTCATATTGCTTCCATGCACAAAACTCTGCTATTTGCCGCGTTTTTGCCTCGTTGTACGACATACTGCGCAACAATGCGGAGCAGGACACGTTGTCACAAGCGTCCATGCCAATTGCGACGATGCCCAAAACACTGGTGTTTCGCCTCGTTGTACAAAATACTGCGCAAGGATGTGGAAGAAGAAAAGCTGTCACAAGCATCCATCCCTTTTGGCTGAAGTACGATTTCATTTAACACCAAAGCCCCCAATTCAGTAAACATCGAAGTAGTTTTTTTTTTACTGTTTGTTTAGCCTCCTGTTTTCGGAATCCTCCAGAAACCCAGGTAAAACGTACGTTTTCGCACACCCAAACACCACGGCATCCTAGGACCCGTGTTCCGGGTTGTTATAAGCGCGCTAAGAAGGTTCCGAAAAAGGTTGGAGGCATATCTATAATTTGCCCTGCAGTACCTGCAGGCAAACAGGTTGCAGACCCTGACACCCGTAACCCCCTAAACCTTTAACTCCTGCACTCTAACACAGCCCTAAACTGCAAGCCTCAAGCTAAGGTGACCCGTATAGTCCTACAGCTCGGGACCCAGCGCTGCTTTTGGTGGCGTTGGGGTTTAGGGTTTGGGGTTTTGGGATTTAGGATTCAGGGGGTTTAGGGTTTGTCTCGCGTTGTTTTGGGTTGTACGGTTGTGGGCTCGGCTTGGTCTAAATCATGTGATGCATAAGGTTTGGCTTTATGGTTCGGTGTGTGGGGTGTTGGGTTCTGGGTTGTGGGGTTTGCATGGTTTCTTTGCGCTGGGTCGTTTAGCCCCGGACGTCTGTTGCTGGCATTTATCGCTCCGATGTCTTTGGGATGCCGTTTTCATAGGGCTCGCGGCTATCGGAAACCAATAGGAGAACCCCTAAAGTGGGGTATCGTATCCCCACTAAGAGGGGCAGCCCGTGTGTATCATGTCTTTGCGTAAGGCTCTAACTAACCCCCAGCCTACGTTCCGAATCCGTGATTCCTGCTGTTTTGAGCTTAGGGTCCAGGGTTGGGGATTTAGATACAGTTTTCAAAGCACTGGCTGGTCTAGGGCTTTGGGTACGGCTTGGCACGCCTACTAACTTAACCCTAAAACCCTAAAACCCTTCAAGTCCTGAAATTCTGAAACGCCATGCGCTCACCCCTACCTTGATCCAGAAGCCCGAATCCCGAAGCCCTAAACCCTAAACCCCCCTAAAGCCTAAGCTGAAAACCCCGACACCTGAAACCGAAACCCGTCCCTTCCAACCCAGATCCCCCCCCCACCCCCCTTCACCTCAAACCTTTAAACCCCAGAATGCCTGAATGCCCCTATATCCCCAATCCTAAACCCTAAGCCCCAAACCCTAAACCCTAAACCCTAAACCCTAAACCCTAAACCCTAAACCCTAAACCCTAAACCCTAAACCCTAAACCCTAAACCCTAAACCCTAAACCCTAAACCCTAAACCCTAAACCCAAACTTCCTGAACCCTGTGAAGCCGGGATCCTGGTGTCCTTTCAACCCAGGCCGATGGTGAAGGAACTCTTGACCCTCCCCTCCCTGACGAGGGGCACGCGACTGGGAGGCTCGGGGTTTAGGGTTTAGGGTTTAGGGTTTAGGGTTTAGGGTTTAGGGTTTACTTAGGGTTTAGGGTTTAGGGTCTAGGGTCTCTCAACAGCTTTGGGATGATAGGGTGGCAGGGCTATGGGGTGGTAGGGCGGTAGTCTTTGGGTTGGTTGTCTTGTTGTTCGGGGTTTTCAGGTGTAGGATTTAGGGCGTTGGGGCCTGACCTTCTGCGGGTTGATGCTTTTGAGGTTTGAGGCTTGTGTGGTGCGGGAGTCCGGGAGGCCGTAGGGCTCTGTAGGGATCCTAGGAGAGTTCAATCTTGAGTTAAGGGAGGCATGGGTGTCTCTAAAGCCCTAACCTAACCTCAGGGTTGTCAGCAGTCCGATCATGGGCATGTAACCTAAACCCGACACCCTGCAACCTGCAGCCCCAACCATCGGTTTTCGGTCTCAAGGTGGCTTTGATGGGCGCCTCCTTCAAAATCCTAAATCCGAAGGCCTAACCAGAAAGGTAAGCCAGAGCGGGAACCGCTTCGAGCGCGAACATCTTCAGGACCCAATTCCGAACTCTACATCCCATTCCCAGACCCTCCATTGCCCCCCCCACAATTCGTGGAGGACTATCCCCTGCCAAGACCTAAATGCCCCAACTACGTATCCAAAATCTCCTGAATGCCTTCCCTAACCCTAAACCCTAAACCCTAAGTATCCAGAATACCCCAGACACCCCAAATATGGGAAGTATTGCAGACTTAACTTTCACTCCGAAGTCAGCCCACCTGGCTTTGCCAGGAGGGCTGCACGACGTGGGCCTGGTCCGCAGCCAAGTGTTGACCACCCTGAACCGGGATCCACCAGGGTTTATGGTTTAGGGTTTAGGCTTTAGGGTTCCTAAACCCTAAGCCCTATAAACGCTGAGCCCTATAAACCCTAAACCCCGCCCCTTTAGCAGCCTACCCACGGGTTCCATGCAGCTTGCTATTTCCAAGAGACTCGAATACCCCCCCGTACTTAACTTCCTCATATCATGTTACGATCCCAACTTCTGTGCCAGGAACACTTCCCGTCTCTACAATTTGCCCAAGCATCCCCCACAAACTAACAGATAAATGATCCCTTTATATTGCCTTGCATAAAATATCAGCTTTTTGCTTTTACTGTTTTTGGAGTAGAATGTACGGCATATTGTGGGGGCCTCTGGGGTGTTGCTTGTATGGGCTGATATGATCTGGGTCTTGCAAAGTACTGAGGACCCCAAGGTGCGCTCTGTCAAGGAACTGAAAGGTTTAGGGTTTAGGGCTTAGGCCACAACAAGGAAACCAGATTAGATGGTAGCTTAACTTCCTTGGAAGCTTGGGCCCTGCCACCCTGCGTCGACAGTCCCTATAGGGTTGCAAGGGCTCTTTTCACTGCTACCCACTTTTTGTAGCAACTGCTGCTGTAAGAGGGAAATAACTGAAATGACTCAACAAGAGCCCCGAAAATCCAAAGCACTTCATCTCGAACCTTCCCATCAATCCTGGAAAGTGCCGAGTCCACCTCAAATCGCAAACCCTTTCGTTTGACCCTGAACCCCCAGCCCTGAAAACCGCAAACGGGGAAGATCCAATCCAGAGGCTTGGCGCGAGAACGCCCTGTCCTTAATCTCTGTGGGCTTTGGGGCTTGGGCTGTGAAAGGCCGTAGGGCCATCCCTAAACAGTAAAGTCCCTAAGGGGTTGAGGTTTCGGACCCGGCAGCCTAAATCCTGTACCAAACACCCTGAGACCCCAACGCAAAATGCCCAAAGCCCAGACTTTGGGTTTGGGTTTAGGGTTCAGGGTTCAGGGATGAGGACAGGGGGCTTACGGGTTCAAGGTTTTTGTTTTGGTAGGGTTCGGGGTTTAAGTTTCCAGGCTTCGTCCTGATTGTGTCCTTTGTCTGTGCTAGGACGGCTTGGACATTGCGGCGCTTCTGTTGTCTTAAGGGGTCGGATTCCCTATACCTGTCCCTTATAAATACCCGGGAAGTCCAAAAAGGGCAACCCTTTCATTTCCAACAGATTCTGGGGTCCCTCAACCCTGAACCCAAAGCCCTGATCCTGAAACCCTAAACCCTGAACCCTAAACCCTAAACCCTAGACCCTACACCCCACACCCCACAGGAAGCTCCCCAGGTTTGCGACCTTGGCCCGCACTTCACTCGCGACGCTGCGGAGAGAGGGGGGGGGGGGGGGGGGGAGGTTTGGGGATTAGGGTTTAGGGTTTAGGGCTTCAGGATTGTGGCCTGCAGCTTAGGGTTCAGGGTTTTAGGGTTTAGGGTTTAGAGGGGTTGGCGTTTGGGCTGAGGGTTAGGTTTTAGGGATGAGGGTTTAGGGCTGATAGAGTTTGGCAGTGTGCTTGGGATATGGGCTGTTCCTTCTTATATCTGTCGACGGTTTCCTTAGGATTTATGCTTTCTTTTTGTTTATCTTTCAAACCCGCAGGAGTATTCAGCATATTTGGTTTGACAATGGTTCCGAGGGGAGTATGGCTGTAGCTATGACGCCGCTGTCTCGACCAGCATAGTTATTTGAGTCAGGGTACGCCTATAGGGCACTTAAGTCTATAGACATCAGAAGTTCTGCCTGGAGAAGCAAGCTCGAGTTTCGTAGGAGTAGAAGGGCCCCGGCTGGTTTCAGCAGATGTCTGTAGTGATACTCGCTTCAGAACCACACCCTAGCCGCCAAAACAAGCCCTAGCGAACACCCTTCAACCCAACCGCCAGCCCCCTTAAGGTAGAACAGAGGACCCTTAACTCATAATATATGTATACACACATATATATATATACATATAGATAGAGAGAGTGAGAAACATACATACATATATACATAAGTTTCTATATTGTTATAGACGGACCACACAATTTCGGCCTAGAAGGCTCCTACGCAAAATCCCTGAACCCTACACCATCAACCCAGACCCTAGACCTTTAGGGTTTAAGGTTTAGGGTTTTGGGTTTCGGGCTTGCCATCCCCCAACTCCTGCCTCCGCTGGAGGAGTGGCTGGGCACGTTTGACATGACCTTTGCGAGTCCAACTGCCTCACAGGCAGCATTCGACTTCATACCAGGGCTTATAAGGCTTAAGCCTTACGCCCCAAACCCTAAACCCTAAACCCGAAACCCTAAACCCTAAACCCTAAACCTACAAACCCTAAACCCTAAACCCTAAAACCTAAACCCTAAACCCTGTCTGTTCTGGGGCTTAGGGGCCTGGAGTGGCCCATGCACCCCTGGAAAAAAAACAAATGAGTTGCTTTGCCCAGGAAGTTCGTGGTCGGCCTTGGACTTTAGGGTTTAGGGTTTAGGGTTGAGGGTTTAGGGTTTAGGGTTTGGACTTCCAGCCGATTCCCAGTAGCCTACGAGTACTTCTCGGGAGTACCCAGGGTTTGGGGTTTAGGGTTAGGGTTTTAGGGTTTAGGGTTTAGGGTTTATTTAGGGTTTAGAGTTTAGGGTTTAGGATTTATTTTTCTGCTGGTAGTTAAATTTACAGGATGATCATTCCTGTTTTGCTACGGTTGGGTCCAGCCCAGCTGAAAACCGTTCTGATACATCCATGTGTGTGTTGGGTGCGTGGGAGGTCGGATGCTCTAAACCCCAAGCCGTTGCAAGTACTGTACCCAAAACCCCGTAAACATCAAAACCAAATCCCAAACCTCAAAACCCAACACCTCAACCCAAAATCCTCAAAACCCAAAACACTAAACCCCCAAACCCTCAAAACCTGAAACCCTGTAAACTCTTCAAACCCTATAAGCCCATAAGTCCTCACAAGAGTCTTTCCATGCGCCACTTGGAGGTTCGTGGTACTTAGCAACCCAATCATAACTGCACTTAGAACCCGGTTATAACCGCTTATAAGTGGGAAGATTTGGTTACAAGACCCTAATTTTAACGCTACGCGACCCGCCTCGGCCCGGCCCAGCGCATCCGCGTGAGCATGGTGATTCCGCAGCGCCCAAGTCGCTGAAGCCCAAGCATTGTAAGGGTTGGGTTTAGGGTTTAGGGTTCCGGGTTTATGGTTTATGGTTTGGGGTTTAGGGTTGAGGGTTAGTTTAGGATTGAGGGCTTAGGGCTCAAGGTTCACGCTTTGGGGTGTGCTTCGGGCTTAAGGTTTAAGGTTTAGGGTTTAGGTTCAAGCTTAGATTCTTCGGCTCGTGTAATGCATCTGCATCCCAGGCCGTGCTCACACCAGTTGAGCCTGAAACCCGCTCACCAAAATTCTGTGGTGGCTGTGGGGGGGGGGGGGGGGGGGGGGGGGTGGGGGGGGGAAAAAGGGGGGGGCCCTGCTGGGAGGGGCTTGAACTGCCTCTAATCCTGGCGAACCGTCCGCTTGCGGACCCCGGTTTCCCAGGGGGGGGTACTTTTTTGAGCCAAAAACGTGGTCCGAAAAACGGCTTGTGCGGGGATTTGGGGGGGGGTGCCTGTTCTCACAACCTATACACCTCCGGCCCCGAGGCCTCGGCGGATTAAACCCTAAACCCTAAGCCCTAAACCCTAAACCCTAAGCCCTAAACCCTAAGCCCTAAACCCTAAAACCCCTAGTACCCTGCACCTCGAAGCAGGTCTGGCTGCGTCGTGCCAGCCTGGCCCTGGGCCCAGAGCCAGTGGCCAAGGCGCCTCAGGGCTTGGGGGGTTTAGGGTTTAGGGTTTAGGGTTTAGGGTTTAGGGTTTAGGGTTTAGGGTTTAGGGTTTAGGGTTTAGCGTTTAGGGTTTAGGGTTTACGAGTGACTCGGGATTTGGTCTTTCGGGTTTCAGCATGAAGGGCTTGGGGTTGTTCTACTATTTGCTTAAGAAATCCCCAAGCTACAAAATCAATTCCTATATTGCCCTCATATGGAGGAACACGTTTGTTTGGGTTCCCCTAAGCCTAAACCCATGAGCCCCCTCAAGCCAGAAGCCCCCCTTGAACCTCGCCCCATAAACCCCAATACTTAAATCCCCAACTGTAAGCCCCAGCCGCTCCATACCCAAGCCCTCGGGTTTAGGGTTAGGGGTTGAGGGTTGGGGTTTAGGGTCAGGGGTTTAGAGTTAGGGTTTAGGCTTCAGGGTTTGGGGAAGCTAGAGCCAGAAAACCCCAAATTCCTCAAAGCCCTAACCCGAAAACCCTCAAACACCCGATCCCTAAGCCCACCAACCCCTAAAGCCGAGAATGGACCAACCCTAAACCCTAAACCCTAAATCCTAAACCCTCAACCTAGTTCGCACCCGATATCCTCAACTCTTCGCCTCCAAAGCCCTAAGCCACTTACGCCCAACAATTTCGACTCCGAATCCTAAACTCCCTTAGCCCTAAACCCTAAGCTCCCTAAACCCTAAACCCTAAGCTCCCGAAACCCTCAACCCTAAACCCTAAACCCTAAGCTCCCGAAACCCTAAACCCTAAGCCCTAAGCCCTAAGCCCTAAGCCCTAAGCTCCCTAAACCCTTAACCCTTAACCCTAAGCCCTAAGCCCTAAGCCCTAAGCCCTAAGCTCCCTAAACCCTTAACCCTAAACCCTAAAACCCTAAAACCTTAGCCCTAAGCCCTAAGCTCCCTAAACCCTAAACCCTGAAACCCTAAACCCTAAAACCCTAAAACCTTAAGCCCTAAGCTCCCTAAACCCTTAACCCTAAAACCCTAAAACCCTAAAACCCTAAAACCCTAAAACCTTAAGCTATCTTAAGCTCCATCTCATGCCCCCACGAATCGTGCGAAGGCCCAGTGCTCCGAGGTGGCCTGGAAGCTCATGGGCCAAAGGCTGTGGAGGGTTTAGGGTTTAGGGTTTAGGGTTTAGGGTTTAGGGTTTAGGGTTTAGGGTTTAGGGTTTAGGGTTTAGGGTTTAGGAACCCTAAGCCCTTCAGCGAATTGTCGGAAACTGGTGCCCAAACCCAAGTTGTAAAAGCTGACAGCTCCAAGGCGGAGAGTCGCTCGAGGGGAAGTGTTCGAAAGTTTAGTTTATATGTTGTGAAGAAAAGGGTTTTTGGGGGTGTGTTGTTTTTGATGTTTGCTGCTCAGAGTTAAGGTCCACCTTTTCAACCACCCGACCTTTCCCCTAAACCTTGACCCCAAACCCTAAGCCCTAAAACCCCAAAACCCTAAACCCCAAACCACACCCGAACATCCAACATGCGGCGCGAAGGTGGTCCACGGAAGATTGCGCGATGGCAAGCTATGCTTCGGCTAGGCCGAGGCGTTTCGGGTTTAGGGCTAAGGGATTTTCTTGGAGCCCAATGGCACCCTCCCTTTTTGCTGGTTTAACCAGCCCCTGAAAAGTAACCCCTGTTAAAGCATGGTTACTTGGAGGTTCAGAGTTCTTTTGTTTCATTCAGTAGTTAAAGCACACTTGTAAGCAAGCCACTTCAGAACCCTAATTAATAGGGCTCTAACTGGGCTGTAAGTGCAGCTCCTAATTGGATCAATACGTAGCATGAACCCGAAAAGGCGACGGGGGGAGGGCGGTTCTACTATCTGGGGGGGATACAGGGAACCTGCCGGAAAAGGTTTTCTGTTCAAGGCATCTTCCACCTCAGGGAATAGAGTTTTGGCAGGTTTGTGGGGGGTGGTTGTATAGGGACCCTCATAGAAAGGGTTCTGAAGTAGGGGCCCTTGGGTAAAACAGGGTGTGTACAGGGGAAACAAGGGGTGCCCTTTTAAGGGCCCATACCATGCATCTACCCTAAGACAGGTTCGGGGTGCGGCAATGACGCTGCTAGGTTTCCACAGCGGCCAATCTTCCCTGCAAGAAAAAGCTTCGGGCTTAGGTTGCAGGGCTGCCCTATCCCCTAAACCCTAAACCCTAACCCTAAACCCTAAACCCTAAACCCTAAACCAGAAGCTGAATTGAACAGAATTCACCCCCCATACCGGCCCCTAATCCTTAGGCCCTGAAGGGAAGCTGCCTCGAATTCCCTTTGGCCCGCGGCAGGCCGTCGCATTCGCGCAAGAGCGGCTTGCTTCTGCCCGTGCAAAATCGATTCAGCGGATTTCTTTAGGGTTTACGGTTTAGGGTTTAGGGTTTAGGGTTTCGGGTTTAGGGTTTGGGGGGCGACCAGAGTCGGGCTTCGGGCTTTTTGGTGTTTTGGGCTTTTGAGTTCGTGTGGTTCTACTTCAGCGACGTCGTTCGCAGCATGTAGTTATTGGTGGAGATGGTGGATAGGATGCCCAGGGATTCAGAATCTTGGCTCATGCAGCCTTTAGGTGACCAAGCCTGTTGCTGGCGTTGAATTCTGCAAAAAGCTGGCCACCCTCAACAAACGGAACATCGCAAGTCGAATGTCTCTTTTGCAGGGGCCTTCCTTGCAGGAGTCAGCTGACCACGAGCTCTATGTCCTGAGCCAGGACAAGCAAGGATCCCAGATTATCAGCACGCTGAGACATTGATACAAGTAAACAAACAGGAACTACACATGTCTGTACATATATGTATATATATATATGCGGATAATGTGTCTTACTATGTATTTAATTGCTTGTTTCTGCATGTCTACGCTTGCCCTTTTGAAGGCCTATCTAGTGTACACTCCTTTTGAAGGGTAGGGGGGGGTTTAGGGTTTAGGGGTTTTTGAGACTTGCAAACTGAAAGTGACATGAACGAGCATCTTGAGCAATCCAATCAATGGTGCATATTCTGAGTTTTTCGTGATAGTAGTACAGGACAACACACCCTGACCCTCAAGCGCACCCGAACCCTGAACCTTTCACACCCCAGTTCCCGAAGATCTAAATTTGTTTTTGAAAATGGGAGTGTTTTTGTGGGAGGTTACGTCTAAGAATGATTAGAGTACTTTCAGGGGATTAGAGGTACCCCGCTATTTTGGGACACATGCCCCCCTTGAGGTTCCAGCGAAACTACAAGCCGCTGGAGGGGGACGTCGAAGACGTGGACACGCATGGCAGCTTGAAGGAGGGTCGCCCTGGCTGCGTGGTTTCTGGGGTTCAGGGCTCAGGGGCTTGGACCTTTCGCGGAGGGAGCACAGGGTTTGATGGGAGACAGCGAAGTTTTCGGGACCTGGTGGCTCTAGACTCTATACGTAGGATTAATTTTCGGTAACCCCTACCACCCCCGCGCCCCCAACTAGAATCCCTAATCAAGCTTTACTTGAAGGTTCATCTGCATGCTACTACTTCCCCAACATGTATTCATAGCCACTATATAACTACAGCTACCTTACTTTGATAGCCAGTTGTAACTCCTAATTGAACCCCAAACCCTGAACCCTAGACACCAAATGGAACTCCGTTCGAGTCCCGGGTTCACGGTCGTTGAGGGCTTCGGGTGTTGGGATTTGGGATTGGGTGATGTAAGGATCAAGGTAGCGTGAGTTTAAGCCTCGTCGGTCATGCAAACAAAGTCTAGCTAGGGCCGATTTGAGTAGTGGTTAAAACCAAGTTGACGTTTGTGCTGTCTTCAAAGGCATGGGACCCTACTCCCTAGATCCCTTATCCCTCCCTGATCGATGCTCTTAGCAAACGTGGGCCTTTTGAGCCCGAAAGGCCTAATGCCTCAGCCCGCAAAGCATCAACGTCCCCAAGCCCCACTCCTGCTTCAAGCCTTGCATGCTTCTGCTTGTTTCAATGTCGGCTTTGCTTAGAGGTACTTACCTTGGAAACTGAGCTCTTGTGTAGAGGAACCCTAAACCCTATGCCATCAACCCTAAGCCCGAAACCCTAAACCCTAAACCCTAAACCCTAAACCCTAAACCCTAAACCCTAAACCCTAAACCCTAGCTACCTCCTTTGAATGCACCTCGAGGAGCGAGGTTTCAAGCCCTACTGGCGCACTGGGAAGGCCTTCATGGGGTTTAAGGGTTTAAGGGTTTAAGGGTTTAAGGTTTAAGGGTTTAAGGGTTTAAGGGTTTAAGGGTTTAAGGGTTTAAGGGTTTAGGGCTTAAGGGTTTAAGGGTTTAAGGGTTTAAGGGTTTAAGGGTTTAAGGGTTTAAGGGTTTAAGGGTTTAAGGGTTTAAGGGTTTAAGGGTTTAAGGGTTTAAGGGTTTAAGGGTTTAAGGGTTTAAGGGTTTAAGGGTTTTAAGGGTTTAAGGGTTTAAGGGTTTAAGGGTTTAAGGGTTTAAGGGTTTAAGGGTTTAAGGGTTTAAGGGTTTAAGGTTTAAGGGTTTAAGGGTTTAAGGGTTTAAGGGTTTAAGGGTTTAAGGGTTTAAGGGTTTAAGGTTTAAGGGTTTAAGGGTTTAAGGGTTTAAGGGTTTAAGGGTTTAAGGGTTTAAGGGTTTAAGGGTTTAAGGGTCTAAGGGTCTAAGGGTCTAAGGGTGCCGGTTGGGGGGAGGGTCGTTGTTCGATGAAGGTTGAGCCATTGCGCAGCCCGCTTATGGCAGTCAGAAGCTGCGGGTATACATGTGTTAAACCCTAAACCCCCACTTAAAACCCACTTATAAGCCCCTAAAGTACCCCAATAGGGTTATATATATATATATATATATTGGGCGATAAGTACAGTTACTATTGGGTTCAAAAGTAACATGAACCTCCAAGTAATGATGTATGGAGTTCTGCGCCCAAAAATCGCTGGGCAGCATTCCCCAATGTATACTCAATTCTGATCCTCTAGATTGGGGTTTAGGCTTTGGAGACACTGTTCTTGTGGCGTGAGCTCTAAGGCTTCAAGCGAGGGTGGGGGGGCGGGGGGGGAGTGGGGGGAGGAATATCCCGAAACTAAACCCCAAACCCTAAACCCTAAACCCTAAACCCCTAAACCTATGGGCTCAAGCCGCACAATGAGTGCGAAGAGTGCATCCCCAACCCCATTTCTCCCCAGCAATGAGGCCCAGCAAAACCCAATTTTATGCTAGCGCGCCAGTCCAGAAATATTTAAAGTTTGACCTACCCCGTTAGGGTTTAGGGTTTATAGGGTTTACGCCGAAGCCGAAACCGACCACCGTGGACATTTTGCGAGATTTCTTAAGCTTTGAGGTCTAGGCTTACCTGCAAGCCCAACACCGCCTTTCTTGCAGCTTACCTAAGAACCCCATAGGCAGGGTTTTGGAATGAGACTTAGAGCCTCCAAGAAAAGTAAATGTGGGGATTCTTAGGGTTTAAGGTTGCGAGGTTGGTGAAGTCAACCTCGTAGCTGTCGGCGGCCGTGGCAATGGCGTCAGCCGAGGGAGCTGAGTTATCCACAACCGGCAGCCGTTCCGAGGAGGTGAGGGGGCCGTGTAGGCATTTTTTGAGTTTGGGGTTTGGGGTTTCGGATGGGTTTAGGATTTAGAGTTTCTGGACTTAGGATTTAGAGTTTCTGGGTTTGGATTTGAGACTTAGGGCTTTGGGTTTGTGTTCGTTAGATGGCAATGCTGTTTGAATTGATAGGCTTTTGGAGTCAAGGGAGTCATACTCGGACCCCTCAGGTGGTACCCTTGGGCTTAAGGCTTCCGTTTGATGATCCCTAGGGCAGTATAAGGGCCAGATTGGGCGAATACTAGGGGAACCTTCAGGGGTACAACCTTAGGCGTACGAGTCTTACCACCTCGGTGTACTACTTCCTACATGTCTTCTCCACGAAGGCTTCACTGCACATGCCTCTTTGAAACAACTCATGCTGAGGCAGGCTGAGAGCTTGGATTTCAGGTCTCGACCCCGATGTTGAGCAGATTATGGCCTAGTGCAAAAGGTTAGGCACACTGAGCCCTAAACCTAACACCCCAAGCTCCAAACTCTAAACCCTAAACCTTAAACCCTAACCTTTGAACATTAACCCTAAACCCTAAACCCTAAACCCTAAACCCTAAACCCTAAACCCTAAACCCTAAACCCAAGTTACCTGCGATCTTCAGACGTTGGGTGGAGCCTAGGGCTTGGGGAACTCCGGGCTGATCATCAAGGGCTTAGTTGCCTAGGGGCTTAGGGATTTCGGACGTTTAGGGGTTTAGGGTTTGGGGATTTGGGGTTTAGAGCTTAGGGGTTATGGGGTTTTGGGTTCTGGGCGTGTGGCTGAGAAGGTAGGGTCTTAGGGTATCCGAGTTTGCGGGCTGGGGCTGATTGCTTATAGATTTTGGGGTTTTAGGCTCGGAAGTCCAGCGGTGAGTAGGTCTAGGCTTCAGGAGGCCTCATGGGTAGGCAAGACTGGGGTGATGGGGAGGGCGACTAGAGTTATTGCTGGGTATGTCCTTATCCGGCAGCTCTCTGTTTTACAACCGTACTTGGGTCCGCCCGTGCAGCCTGCATCCGAAACAGGAGGCGCTTCTCAGCGAGCAAGAAGAAAATGACTTGCTCCAACAGCTGACGCTGGAAGAGAAGGTTCGGAGTCGTCTTCAAACCGTTAAGGTTAAGTTCCGGTTAACTCAGGGTGTAGGGTTGAAGGCTTAGGTTGTAAAAGTCCCCAAAGCCGAAAGAACCATAAGTCATAAGCTCTTCAGCAGTTTGCGGGGGGGGGGGGGGGGGGCTCATGTACTTGGAGTGCCAGTTAGCCGAGTGCGAATGAGCAGAGCTGCATATACACTCTGGGTCTTTCCGTAGGTTTCAGTCAAGAAAGCATGCACACACTATCCACGCAGGTCTTTACAAAGCAGCTTGACATTTTGCCTTCATCGCGCTTGCGCAGTCGGGCCGGAGACAGCAGGATCATATAAAGGTTTCGAAGCACTCGGGGCATTGGGGCGAAGCGAAGTAATGTATTCATGTAGGACGGTAGGACGGTAGGACGGTAGGACGGTAGGACGTAATTAAAGTTCAGGGTAGGACGTAAAGTTCACGGTGTTATTCGGGTTTAGGGGTTCAGGGTTTAGACGCGTGTCGTTTCCATGTGCGGGGTTTCGGGTGTCAGATTGCAGGTGGGAATGCTCAGTGGCGTGACCATGTGGGAGGCCACGGGTCTTCCTTCTAGGTGCACCCTAAACCCTAAACCCTAAACCCCAAACCCCAAACCCCAAACCCTAAACCCTAAACCCTAAACCGAAAAGACCCTAACTAACCCTGAACCCTGAGCCCTGGGCCCTACAGTACAAGCCCAAGGACCTCCAGTTGAGCCCGCTGTCCCTTCTCGGGTCCAGGGTCCCTTTAAATGTTTCGGGTTCGCTTTACTTGGTAGCCTAGTGGTGCCCTCTTGCCCCGTTTTTGATTCATGGTTCCCTTATACAGTAGCCAACCGCAAAAAGGGGTTGCCTGATTATATATTACTAGTATCCGGAGAAGGCCCTTATCTTCCTTTTTTAGGGTTGGGGTTCCCTTATAATCCCCTTAAAACCAAAAAGGGTACCCTTTTATTCCCAGGCTACGCCTGGGCCTAGATTATGGTCACTGAGCTGCCAAGTGTAGGGTTTAGGGATATTCCCAGGTCGCTCTGGCATCCATATGAGCCCAAAGCCTAACACCACATGCGCCTTAACCCTACCGCACGTTTGGCATTTGTTCATCCAGGGTTTTCCGGTTTAGGGTTTAGGGTTTTCTCATAGGTTGTGGCGGCAACAAGGCAGATGTGGATGCAAGGTGTCCCTAAACCCTAAACCCTAAACCCTAAACCCTAAACCCCAAACCCCAAACCCCAAACCCTAAACCCTAAACCCTAAACCCTAAACCCTAAACCCTAAACCCTAAACCGTAAATCCTAACCCTAAACCCTAAACCCTAAACCTTGCCCGCACATGCATCACTTCAGACTGACCTTCCAGCAGTGTGCAGGATGTGGGTTCATAAGAGTTTACGGGCTAAGTTGTATTCAGGTTCACGTGGTTTCGCGGCTTCTGTAGCTTCTAGATACATGCACTGCCTATGAACTTTCATGCAGCCCCTAGACATCTGACGCAGAGTCCAGGGCCCTAATCCCTCACCTCACTTGTACGGGCCGTCACTGCAGTAGGCCTAGCTAAGCTTAAGAGAGAAGCGAGAGAAGAGAGAGAGAGAGAGAGAGACAGAGACAGAGACAGAGACAGAGACAGAGACAGAGACAGAGACAGAGACAGAGACAGAGACAGAGACAGAGACAGAGACAGAGACAGAGACAGAGACAGAGACAGAGACAGGGACAGAGACAGAGACAGAGACAGAGACAGAGACAGAGACAGAGACAGAGACAGAGACAGAGACAGAGACAGAGACAGAGACAGAGACAGAGACAGAGAGAGAGAGAGAGCGAGCAAGAGCGAGAGAGTGAGAGAGAGAGAGAGAGAGAGCGAGAGAGAGAGAGAGAGAGAGAGTTTGGCAGGATCCTTAAAACATAAAAACCATATGAAACCCAAACCTAAACTAAAAGCCCTAGAAACTCCAAACCGAATTAAAACCTGCAACGACAGCCCCAGAAACCTGTACCCTAAACCCTAAACCCTAAATCCTTAACCTACACTGGCCAGTCTGGCGGTGTACCTCGACTTGGCCTGCAGAACCTCCGCTTTTCCGACGGACTCTTGCCCGCACGTAAGCGGATTAGGGCTCCAAGGCCACTAAAGAACTTAGGGTTTAGGGTTTAGGGTTTAGGGTTTAGGGTTTAGGGTTTAGGGTTTAGGGTTTAGGGTTCAGCAGCTCCGGGTCGAGCAATCTCCAGTAGGGCCGCTGTTTGGGCTCTCAAAAAAAAAACCACCCCCCCAGAGAATCCCAAAACATTAAGAAATAAAGAGTTTACATTTTTCATCAGCAAGCCGTGTCCTCCAACCTCACTCTGTCGAATGGACACCTAAACCAGTTCATGGGGAGGGGGGGGGGAGGGGGTGGGGGGGGGGGGGAGGGGGGGGGGGGCGGGGGCGAGGGGGGGGGGAGGGGGTGGGAAGAAATGACCCTTAGCCACGAAGAAATGACCCTTAGCCACGAAGAAATGACCCTTAGCCACGTAGAAATGACCCTTAGCCACGAAGAAATGACCCTTAGCCACGAAGAAATGACCCTTAGCCACGACGAAATGACCCTTTGCCACGAAGGTGTATAGGGTTTAAATATACAAATAAATAAATAAATAAATAAATATATATATATATATATAAGAAAGAGAGGTTTAGGGTTTAGGGTTTAGGACTAGGGCTTGGGGTTTAGAGGTTTGGGTTTTGGGTGCAGTGTTTCGGCTTTAGAGTTGGTTTTTTCAGGGTTTATAGGGTTTAGGTTTGAGCAACCTATTTTTACCCTCGCAAAAGGGAAGTGCTCCTCTTCTCTGTGAGTCTGGGGGTAGAGACTGAGGACCGCCAACCTCAAACTCGGGCATTCACGACAAGACTTCAAAAGTAGGACCTGCGGCAAAGCAGGATCTTGGCTTGCCGGCTTCCCTCAGACGCTAAGCCGCTAAGCTTTACGCCCTAAAACCCCCTCCCCCCCGGAAGATCTTCACGCTCGTTGGGATGAAGGAAGTACGCCGAAGCCTCGAAAGCGCAACTCTAAACCCCAAACTCCAAACCCCAAACCCGAACCCCTAAACCCTAAACCCTAAACCCTAAACCCTAAACCCTAAACCCTAAACCCTAAACCCTAAACCCTAAACCCTAAACCCTAAACCCTAAACCCTAAACCCTACATCCATCCTTTTGAGACGCCACCGGCCGAAGGTCCTCACGGGGCTCGCGGGGTGGGCCTCCACGGCTCCGTGGGTGCCGGCTTGGCCCCGTCTTCGGCTCAGGGGTTTAGGGTTTAGGGTTTAGGGTTTAGGGTTTAGGGTTTAGGGTTTAGGGTTTAGGGCATCAGGGGCTTGGGAAGTGGCTGAGGTTGTAGGGGTCCAGGGTTAATTAAGGGTTTAGGGTTTCGGGTTTAGGGTTTGGTTTTTTGGCTTCATAGGTTGCCAGGATCAGAGGGAGTGTATATAAGGGTTCCATAGCAAGGGGCGCAAATTGAGGGCGCATACTTCGATGAACTCCATGCATGGCAGGCATGGGACTTGGAACGCTTGAGGTTTAGGGTTTAGGGTTTAGGGTGACAGTATGTTGCGCATCAAGCACTGCCTGGCAGTTCCCGAGCAGCAGCTGCAGCTGTCCTTGATGCTGGAAGAATGGAGGAGTGAGTCCAAAGATGTGGAAGAAACAGGGCTTCACACGGAGTTCCACAACAAGGATCCAGTACCACCTCCACCCGCCCCTCCCTCCGCCCGGAATCCAAGCCCTAAGTCCTGTAAACCTTCCATCTACCTAGACTTCAGAGCCATCACGCCTTACATGAGAAGGCATGACTTATAAACAGTTGTAAGCAAAATATAGTCCCTTGTAAAC